TACCTCTCATTAAAAGACAATGTCTTTGCAGCTACAATGCCAGGAAAAGTACAAATATACCTAGGTTGTGATTGAAGTCAGATATAAAAGTAAATAAATGGTACAAAAGACTTCACGTAACGTAGATTCGGCAAACAAACATTTAATACAAGATAAAATGCATTAAATGCAAGATACACGAAGTCTGAATGAACTAAACAAAAACATTAGATGATGGTTAGTCAAGCAACAAGACTAAGGTCTGATCAAAAGCCAAATGAACATTCAACGAATACTAGACGAGGCCTACTACAAGTTGAGACCTTGAAGTATCAGACAAAAGATGAAAGGCCAAAACAAGGCTAAATCAAGAACAAGACAAAAATGGGTTAAACATCAAATAAAGCCTAATGGTCAACTCAGACGAAGATCAGACAAAGGTGTGTCAAGCACAATCTAGAGCACTATATAAGAACTTAGATGAATGCGGGCCAAAGATTAGAAGAAAGTCAACTACGCATCAAACGAAGGACAGCACAGACTGAAAGATATTCCAGACGAAAACAAAGTCTGTCCATCTACAATGCTGACCAGACCTTGGAAAGTCAAAGCATCAAGGACAAATGCTCAGACGAAGATCAGATCTTGAGACGCAAAAAGACTAAGAGACTTAGACGAAAATTACCACGCAAGCATCTAAAGAATCAAGTCTCAAAGGACAAATCAGGCATCGTCTACGATCATATAAAAGCTCTCAACATGATCGCGTGACTAAAAGAAGAGAAGAAGAAGAAAAAGAAAAGCACACAAAAGCAAAAGCATGCATGTGTCAGAAAAAGTACATTACTTTTTCAAGTAAGGACAAAACTCGACAGCTACGATGACCATAAAAGGACAAATAGGTCCCTAGGTCCCTACTAAACTCAGACACTGCTGCTAACAAACGAAGAAGACTTCACGTAATGTCTACAAACAGGAAACAACATTTAATGCAAGATCTAAATCATTAAATAAGAAAATCAAACTAGTCATGAACGACTACATCTGCTTCAACGGACACTTGCAATGGGCAAAATTTTACAAGACTATATATATGTCACTACATCAAACCTTAAAAGGTTGTCTTTGGCGAAGATAAGCAAAGAGTGATATCAAGCCCATGAAGCAACGAAACTAGAGATATAGCATGTAGAGTCAACTGTATCATAGTGTATTTATCTCTGTAGATTAAGGAGTTCCAAGTGTAACTTAGGAACATGAACCTTAGTAAGTGTACAAATCTTTGTATCCTCTCTGTGAGAGTAACCCAAACTCTCAAACCGAATCATATATTCTTCACTTGTAAAGCCTGAAGAGGCTAGGGAAAGAATACTTGTAAAAGCTTGGAGAGGCTTGTCAATGAATACTCACTGAGAGCCAGAAGTGACTGAATAAAGAATACTAGTGCTAATGGTGAATTTAGCGGGTTAGGAGTTGGTCGACAATACTCTGATGGAAGAGCATGGACCCTTCCATCATACTCACTACTAGCCTGAAGAGACTGATTAAAGAATACTAGAGTCAATGAGTGAAGTTGGCCGACCAGGAGTGGTCGTGACCTAGGTGGTCTATAATACTCACTACTAGCCTGAAGAGGTAGATTAAAGAATACTAGAGCCAATGAGTGAAGTTGGCCGACTAGGAGTGATCGTGACCTAGGTGGTCTATAATACTCACTACTAGCCTGAAGAGGTAGATTAAAGAATACTAGAGCCAATGAGTGAAGTTGGCCGACTAGGAGTGATCGTGACCTAGGTGGTCTATAATACTCACTAGGAGCCTGAAGAGGCTGAATAAATAATACTTGTACTTCATTGAATATCTAGTGAAACCCTTCATTTGAAGGAGATTGGACGTAGCTCAGTCTGAGCTAACCAGTATAAAAATCCTCTCGAAAATAGCATTAAGCCATAATTACAGCAACCAAAGGGGTCCAAAAAGATTCTAAGGGCCATTCTCTCAAAATAAATTCTCTGAAGCTTTGTTAAGGCAGGTGCACAGGGAAGCCAACAACAACTTACTCAAACAAACCTTCTTCCGAAGATGCAAGAACTAAGCCAAAACATAGTAATACTTCGATACTAGAAGAGGAGTGCAAAAAACACAAATAGACAACCAATATAAAAGAAAGGCTATATGTTCAGACTCGGTAACAGGGTCATCCTCCTTGCCATGATAAGCAATGATAGAAGCCAAATATGTCTTTTTATCCCATATGATCAAAGTATCCTTAAGTAAGATTTCCTCCTTAAATGCCTCAGGATGATACCTATCCCCTATTGGCTTCAAACCTAGAATAGCAGCAATATTCACTAGAGTCGGGCATACAAACCCATAGGAAAATTTGAAAGCTCGAGTTTCCCTGTTCTAGAGAAAATAGCTGATAATAACATCTGAGGATCAAAAATATGCAAATCATACTTGGCCAGTTGGGCAAAGTCAAAAATACCAGCGTCATGTCATATGGACTTCATAGAACTCTCAACACACTCAAGCCAAAAAATATGTCTATCCTTAATGGGGGGAAATGCTCTAAAGATTTTTGTGGTATTAGAAAAAAGAGATAAATCTATCTTAGAAGAATACATGAAAGGCAGGGTAGAATCATCCTCAAAAAGCAAATCATTGGCATATTTCTTTTTATTCTAGCCTGAGAAAGGACCCGAGAAAGCATGAGAAGAACCATCTTGGGTAGAGAAGGGAATGAGCACCTGAGAATGATAAATCTTAAGACTGGCTTCCTCCATGCCAAGGATAGGAATGAAAGGATCACTTTCTCCCTCTAGAGTTGAGATAAGAACATTCTCCAACAAAAGTGGAAGACTTGGTGCAGAAGAAGTAGAAATAGGGGCTGGAAACAATCCAAGGACAATGGTTGAAATAGAAGCTGCTGAGGTAGCCATGGATGCAAAAGAAAAAAGCACAGAGGTTGAAGATAAAGAAGAGAAAAATTTTACTGAGGCAATAAAAGGTGAAGTTTCAAAATAGTAAAATGCCTAAATAAGGACGTAAATGGGCCTCAATTAAGATAGGGCCCACATTTGAAATCCAAAAATTAAAAATTTTAATTTTAATTCAAACGTATCAATAAGAAAGTATGATTGCCTATCCTAAAAAAGCATAATCAACGCCGCCAAATTACTAAAAGGATAATGGAATCAAAAATTTGATTTGATTTGTATTAGAGCATTTAATAAATACAGATAGTGACACATCTAGGGTTTCATTGAAACAGGCAAAGTACATTGATACGTGTAAAAAACATTTGCTCTCATGCACTTCGAGACAAATATTTTTTAGGGGGCATATGTTTGGGGGTAAAATTCTAAGGTACTCGAATTTTTATCAAATATAAGAAGAGCGAGGAAATGGAGAAGGGTTCAGAAAAGAAGTAACGTTCAAAACAGAGGAAGGTTCGATAATAACTAAAGACCTCGAGGAAATCTTTCAATAATGCATCGAGAAATCGAGAAGGCAATTTGAGAGGTTAATAGTAGTTGAGAGTGGTTATACACGTTGCATAGTGCGAAGTGGTTATATATCCCATGACAAACTAATGCAAAATAATTGTTCTTCCCTATTTTCTATAAATAAACGAGTCATACTCATTTGTAAGGGTCGGAAATTCAATATTGGCACACTCACACACATCCATTGCCTACGTTCATGGTTCCCGTGCACAAGGTTATCGAGTATGATTTCTTGGCCATCTTGTTTTCTTTCTTAGCTTAGTTTTAGAATAACTTAGTCTAGACTAGTTTAATATCTCTGTTTATTTACATAATCCTTTGTCTTGTAATTCACAAACTCTTTTGAAGGAAATGATATGATTATTTTACTTAAAGTACCCGTTGTTCATTCAATTTATTTAAGTGTCTATATGCATGAAGCTTGTTTTGTGGTAGTCATCAAAAAACATTTGAAAATCTTTGCATACTAAATCACATAAAATTGAATCTCGACTAATTTGACTTGTTTATTTCAATTAAATTACTTATATCTTGTGTATGAGATTCATTCCTAGAAAACTTGTTGCATGCTAAGAACACACAAACACACACCTAAATTGAAAATCTCGTTGTTTCAAACGAAAAGAATTCATAAATGAAAATTCCAACAAACATGACAATATTTTGAGAAGTCATTAAAGAAAGTAATGAAATGTCTTTTTTTCACGAGTTAACACACAATTATTATCACATATATCATGATGAATAAACTCAAGTAGACAAGTTTTTTTTTGAACATAATTTTGAAAAGTTTTTTTAAGTTGTTTAGCTTGAACACAAACTTTTTTTTTAAGTTCACTCAAAGATTTAATAACAAGATAAAGAATCATTATTCTTCTAATAGATTTGAAATTAATATGTCTAAATCTATCATATCAAATATCAAAATATTTAACATTTGAAACAAATAATAAAAAATACTAAAATATTTGTAAATGAAAAAATGAGACTGAATTTTAAAAAAAACCATCACAAATATTTTCTTTTCCAACAAAAGTTAAAAGATGAAGATTGTTGTGCTCACTTCCGAAAAGTTAAAAGATTGAACCGGAGACAATATCCTAAACTAGAAACATGCAGCCACAACAAATAAACGTTCCAAAACAATAATAAATTGGGACTAGCTGCAAGAGTCGCTGAGAGTTAGCAATACTGACATGTTGAAAACTGAATAAATAAACTTAGTCAAATCAAATAAATCTGAATGAAGCAACAATTTAATTTAAATTTTAAATTATAAAATAAAATTCCATAACCAATATTATCATGTTATTTTATTGTAGTTGAATTCTGACTTTGGGTTTTTATTTTATTTTTTTGCTGGCATTGACTTTGGTTTCCTGAATCAATAGAAAAATAAATTTTCTTGTCACATTTAATTAAGGTTTTTACGAAAATGGTTTTTAATTTTCATCCTTGATCAAGGTTGCTAAACAACACAAAGCCAAAAAAAATAAAGAACACATAATCTGCTTTACAAAAAAAAAAAAAACACTAATCACAAAACACATAACAAAGCTACATAATTCATCCAAAAAAAAAAGAAAAAGAAAAACTGATGATGATGATCATCTACCAGGGTCAGATCTGGTCAACGACCTCAACCTGACGAAAAACTTGACTTTCTTGTCCCAATTATTCCCACCGCCATGCTGCTCCTTCCGCTTCTTGCCACTCAACGCGTCCCAATTCTCCGGCGACCCCATCAGCAGCACGCTCTCCGGCGACCTCACCCCCGCGGCCTCCTCGCTCTCGGTCTGCTCCGCCGCGGCCGCAGCCGCCAGCATCCGGGCCTGCATGGCCGCCAGCACCTCCCGCATTGCGACGTCAGCGTCCCCTCTATTCCGCAGCAAGATCTCCCCCACGTGCGCGGGCGTGAGGGACCCACCCGAACGAATGCACCCCTCCACGGCCTCGAACAGCACGTGCGACTCCACGCCGAGGTAGTTCCTGGCCAGCTCGCGGAACGCGTGCACCCCGCACGTGCCCAGGCTCACGTGCACGTCCATGCGCCCGCACCGCACCAGCGCCGGGTCCACACTGTCCCTATGGTTCGTAGTGAAAACCACAATCCTCTCTTCGCCACAGCATGACCACAACCCGTCCGTGAAATTCAGAAGCCCCGAAAGCGTCACTCGCCCACTCTCCTCGCACCGCGAAAACGACGCCGTTTGAGGCTTTTTACTTTTTAACGACAGTTTAGACGCTTGCGTTTTCTTCGCCGTCCTGTCTGCCGTTAAGTCAACGGAGCAGTCAATGTCTTCGATGACAATAATAGAACGGTTTGTCGTTTGGATAAGTAACGACCGTAACTCGGAGTTATCAGAGACTTTGGTTAGTTCCAAATCGTAAACGTCGTAGCAGAGGAAGTTAGCCATAGCGGCTATTAAGCTGGACTTACCCGAGCCCGGTGGGCCGTGGAGTAAATACCCACGCTTCCAGGCCCGGCCCACTCGGTTATAAAAGTCTTTACCCTGGGCAAACGCCGTTAAGTCGTTTTTGATGGTTTTTTTGAGTTCGGGCTCGAGGGCGAGGGTTTCGAACGTTGAAGGGTGACGGAAGGGGACGGAGACCCAACCCGATTCGAAGGACCCGGACCCGGTGGTGTTGTTGGTGAAGAGTCGTCGCTCGCGCGAGACGCGCTCGAACTCCTCGGCGCGTGCGGTGACGTGCGCGAGGTAGGGGGAGAGGAGCGCGTGGCGGTGGCGCTTGGGGAGGCGGAGGGAGAAGCTGCGCTTCTCCTCGAGCGAGTCCTGCGCGGTGTCGACGTGGTGCGTCCACGTGACGCGGTGGCCGCGGAAGGCGTCGTGGACGGTGTGGTTGGGCGCAACGGCGAAGGAGATGCGGTTGGAGGAGGGCGAGCGGGAGAGCGTGAGGCGGCGGCAGGCGGCGGCGGGGGCGTGGTTGGCGGCGTTGAGGTAGAGGTGCGCGTGGCGGTAGAGGTCGTTGAGGTCGACGCCGCAGTAGCCGTTGAACTCGGGAATCTCGAAGTAGGAGTACGGAGAGAGAAGGTCTTGGAGAGATTCGTATAAGGAGTGGAGCAATGCGAGGAGCTGCGACGGGAGAACGTTTTGCAGCACGGTGAGTAACCCTAACAGAGACCACATTTGTGATAATATTTCCATTTTTGTGTGTTTTTGTGTTTTGCTTGATTGAGAATTGGTGGAAGTGGAAAATGAAAAATGGAAATGGAATTGAATGGTTTGGGTTTGGGGTTCTTATACGGTGCGTAAAAGCAGGAACATGGTTCTGATAAAGGGTAGGGTTTTGGTTAAAGAGTCATTGGGCATATGGTAGAGTAGCCAAAAGTAAAAGGTAAAGATGGTGATGAAGCCGACCACTTTGCTTTTCTGCTTTTTGCTTTGTTCGTTTGAAGAAGATGTGTGAATGTGATAATTGAGTTGTTAGGGGTTTATGCCCATAGCCTCGCCGCTATACATGCATTGCCATGCCTACAGAATCTCACAAAATGCAGATTTTTGTTCACCACAGCTCCCTCCCTGTTTTCTACCCTGGAATCGCATGAAGGGTTTTAGTTCCTTTTGTGGGCTCAAAAACCAAAATCACATAAAATCGAAAGCTTTTGCTAATTGCCAAAGTTTCAGCTTCAACCTTTCAATTGTTATGGACCAAAACAATACAACTTTCGATTGTTGTTTTTTGAGGGATGATATTTGGATCTATAAGTTATAAACACACAAATCACATCTTTTATTTTTCGTTATTTTGTATCATATTAATCACTTGTCTTTTCTCTCTTCTTATCTCTCTTGATGTGTCCCTCATGGCTGTCCATGAATATTTTTTTAACAAAAAAGATATTTGGACACTCTAGAGGTGTGAGGTCTCTACATCTAGAGGGATAGAAAGTGATATAAATAAGTGATGGATAAGATTCATGATGTATATAAATGGGTAAAAAAACAAAGAAATTAAAGGTGTCAATTTTAGGTGTTTCATTTATTTTGGTATACAATAATCACCACTTTATTTTTATCCTTTTGTTGCATTGGTTTATACTTATTGTATGTATTTAGCATGATTTTAAGGACATGTTTGTATGCACATCCATAATCCACGTCCAAACTAGAATTTACTGTTATTTTTATTGGATGTTCCTTCAAATTATTCCTTAAGTATTAGTAAATATATCAATTTGGTGATAAAATTGATAGATATTAAATACTTTAAGGCTCTAAATTGATGGTTTATTCAAAGTTATTGAAAAAATGTACAGCTACAAATATTCTCTTAAATAAGGTCTCAATTTAGTAAATGAAAAGGAAAAATAAATATTGACAGCTAGAGCCAATAAATTTTCTCAACTCCAATAAACACTTACTAAAAAATATCATGCTCTTAGAGAAAAACGACAAATTAACTAGAATTATTGGAGTATAGAAAATTTACTCCCAGGGACGACCATTGCTGATAAAAATTCAAAACATTGAGGGTTCATTTAATTGTTCAGGGTTGCATTAAACTTTAGGTATATTCGTCAAAATTCAATCATTTTTTACGAGCATCTTGATCTTTAGGGTGCATCTGATGCCCATAATTGAACAATGCACACGCGCCAGCTATCTTTAGTAAAGGTCTTAAAGAGATAATGCTCTAGTCTAGCAGCAATGAATCACACGGCGGCGCGCATGAAATACTCGGGGTTTGTTAGGAAATGGTATGGAGTGGATCTCGTTGAGTTGAAGCTGCTTTTGGTTCTTTCACGACAAATCACACTTTATCTTTTCCCCTTATATTTGTTCTTGTAATTTGTGCCTTCAGAGGTCGGAGAATGTTCTTATGTATTATTGTAACTCATCAGTCACTCATGATGAGTGGCAAGTGGGATATGATAATGAGGGGACTATGATTATGTGCTACTGATGATTTTCATGTCTAACTGCACCATGTTGGTTCAAATTGGTACGTATGAACCCACTAGATAAATTTATATTCACCATATCTTTTTGCATGGGCCCATTGAATAATTTTTTTATTCATAATAGGTTTCATGTTTTTCTCGTTTTCACCTTTGTACTTATGGGCCGTATAGGCCATTGCAAACGAAGCAACGATGAGGATAGATTAGAATCCACAATAGCACAAATATGAAACTATTTAATTACGGATTATAACTGAAATGCCGATTTGTTACCGAGTTGCTTACATGTTTGGGCACTTCTATATAGCCTTGAAACTTTTCATTACCTTATTTTAGGCTTTTACTTGTTGAGGTCATGAAAGGGTCTATGAGATTGAGAGGTATAGATCTTAAAGTCATGCAGATGGTGGTATTCTTTCTTGTGCATTACATTTCTTTTATATCTTTTACACGCTTATATGCTTTTGAAACAAAGTTTCATTTATGCTTCTTTACAGAAATTTGTCTAAATCTCCTTTACTAAAGCAATGCAATTGGTACCATCAGATCGTGATCCTGTGGTGCATGGCTGTCGTTCTTATCTAATTTTTGTTGCCCCTTCAATGGTTTTAGGTATCTGCTTATAAAATGGTTGAAATTTTGAGAAAGGGAACATGGAAAGAGAAAATAAAAGGATGAGAAAAAGAAAAAGAGGCATGTGTATGGCATTAAAAGCCACGAATATGGAGATGGGCAAAAAATTCAGTGTAGGTCAGCCTTGAGAGAAAGCCCTGCTTAAATGGTGGTATCAAGAATAAAGCCAAAAAGAGAGGGTTCTCCCTGGAATGTCAATGATAAAATGGATCATATTCCATCCACGCATGAGTCATAGCAATTTCGATTCATAGAGAAAATAGATCAGACTGCTTAGTAGAGCATTATTATCTTTAGTAAAAACCCTAAATCAATCCATTGTTGCTAGAAGGAGTGATTGCACTTCACCTATATAATTTTAGTTTAGTGTCGTAACCGTATGTTTTGAGTTTGGGTCAGCCTCGAGAGAAAGCTCTGGCTAAATTGGGGGTATAAGAATAAAGCCGAAAGTGGATTCTCCCTGGAATGTCAAATGATCAAGTGGATCATATTCCATTAGGTACTGCTTTACAAGATGGATTCTTCAAGAAAATGAGTCAGAGCCATATAGATCTCATCAGTTCTGTTATCCTGTCATTAGTTAAGGAAAGAGAAAAATGAAAGATTGCACTTCACTTGTATTGTTTAAACTCTGGTTTTTATTAGTATCAAAAAGCATTTCGTGCTTCATGTATTTTTAAAATATAAAACAAAAATGAGTAATTAATTATCTAAAAAATAATAAATAAATTATTAACAATAGAAATAATTTTTAAGTAGTTGTTATTGTATGAGTAATTTTTTAGTGATTTTGAAAAGTAGAAAAATAAAAGTGGGAAAAAAGTAGTTAAGGTAAGTTACCAGGGGTGAAATTATCTAAAATAATATGGGCGTAAAATGGGTTTATTCTCTTTATTATTAATTAGTGGAGTCGAGACATTTTATACTTCTATTAAATATAAAATAAAAATAAAATTATATAATAAAAGTATATTGATCTAATTGGTGTTATAATTAGTCTATTAGAAAAATTACAAAGGTAAAAAAAATAATATGGACGTAAAATAGGTTAATTCTCTTTGATATATATATATATGTAGTTAAGGTAAGTTACCAGGGGTGAAATTATCTAAAATAATATGGGCGTAAAATGGGTTTATTCTCTTTATTATTAATTAGTGGAGTCGAGACATTTTATACTTCTATTAAATATAAAATAAAAATAAAATTATATAATAAAAGTATATTGATCTAATTGGTGTTATAATTAGTCTATTAGAAAAATTACAAAGGTAAAAAAAATAATATGGACGTAAAATAGGTTAATTCTCTTTGATATATATATATATATATTAAAGATATTTGATTTTTGTCAGTGAAATGGGCACTTCCAAAAGATTAGTGCGACCGAATAATTAAAAGCATATAAACAAATCTTAATAAAATGAGACGCTTTTAGCTTTAGTATGCAAAGAAAACCATTTAATGATTAAGGTGTACATTGGAAAGAACGAATAAAGAAATGAAATTTACAAGATCTCTGTTTTCATTCCCAGTATGCAAGCCACTCCAAAATGATTAATATCAATGTTTCAGAGGAGTTCAAGGTAACAGTATACTGTTAATAAGTCATTCTTATATCATTAAGGTTTCGGTGGATGACAATGTATAAAGTATGAGTTGGATAATTGAGTATATATATATATATATATATATATATTGTTATGATGTGAGATTTTTTTTTACTTTATGTTGAAGACTATATTTTTATTATTTATGTAAGGATTTGATATTTTTATATTCTTTATTTTAGATTATTATTTATATGTATATGTGGGGTAAAAGATGTTATATTCAGTGCAATGTGTATACTCAATAATTTGCCATTCACAATAATTTGTCAATCACATTCTATTTGCATTATTTATGTTTTGCCAACACTAAAACTAATTCACAAACTTTACATTAATTATGTTTCACATTAACATAAATACATGCTCAACATATCATACTCAGTTATCTGTATCAATTTGTATAAGAGTTACATATTCATAGTTCAAGTACAATAATTATACAATATTATTTGATACACTTCAAGATTATTAATTCCTTTAAATGGGATTAGTTGTTGGACTGGTGAAAATATTGGTTTAAGGTTTAATAGTTACTGTAGTTGCATCATAGTTGAATTGATATTAATATGAAATAAATTTAATATCATAATTCTACATCACTAAAAATAAAATTAAAATTATTAGTTTATAAGTTTTTAACATTTAAAATAAGTTAAATTAGTCTATTGATTTTTATATTTTTGTCACATTTTAAATTAGGTGTTTACATTTTAAAACACTAATAATATTCATATAATTCAAAAATATTGTAATCATATCCTTCATCTACTAACGATGTTAAAATATTGTAATTACTAAGTCTCTTTCATTCACAGGTTGTCTTACATTATCTAAATCGGTCCTTGTTGTTTTACCTCCGTATACAATGTAGATACTTTTCTTTCCTAAATAGTTGTGTGATGATATTGATAAGTCTAGTAGATCTTTCATTTGGGGGGAGGATGGCCACAATCGACGTATCCATGTTCTTGCATGGGAAACTCTTTGTAAACCTAAAGATGTTGGAGGTTTAGGTTTAAGGGAGACACATAAGGTTAATCTATCATTTATGATGAAGAACTGTTGGGCTTTATGTTCCCAACCCAATATGCTTTGGGTTCAGGTGGTGCGGTCTAAGTATGTGTGTGGAGAAGATTTTATTCCAATAATCCATAAGAAACCAACAACTTCTAACCTTTGGAGAGGAATCTGTGAAGTGTGGGACAAGGTTGTGCATAATATAGCATGGAACATAGGAAATGGTAAATCTACTAAATTCTGGTCTGACCACTGGCTTCCATCCAACGTGGTTCTTAATGAGGTGGCTATTCAAATGGTACTAATGGAGATACAGAGTAGAAAAGTTATTGATTTTGTTGATGCGAATGGGAACTGGAAGCTTGATGAGGCGTGCTCATACATTCCTAGTCAACACTGGTCAGAGATACAAGGTTTGACACCCCTTTTCTCCTGAAAATGATGAAGACTGTATGTTTTGGGGTGGTTCTAGGATTGAAATTTTTTTTTATTAAAGTTGCATATGAATCTTTAAGAGCTTTGCCTTCTACAGAGTTACGATGTCTTTTTAATTTAATTTGGAAATGGCCCAACCCAGAAAAGAATTAGATGTTTTTTGTGGAGAATTGCACACAATAGTCTTTGCACAAATGATTGG